GTCCTTAGCAGAACTCGCCTTATTCAAGTGGCATTCTTATGTTATATGGTTCAAAAGGAAGAAATGCTTAATTGTCCTTTACTTCTCTTATCTGTTATATATGAGGAAATATTAAGTATCTTGTAGGGATATCATGAGGTGTTAGTAAAAATGCTTAGTGCAGTCTTAAGCTTATATGGGGATTCAATAATTGTTCATTTCCATTCCATCACATTCTTTCAGTCTTTTCCAAACCTGTTTCTCAGTGGTTCTTTTCAAGCAGTTCTTTTAGGACTGTGTTTTAGTGGTTACACACCTAGATGTTCAATGTCAAGGTGCCTTTGCCACACTATTCTAAAACTTCTAATAGAAGAGAATTCAGTGTTCTCTTAGAGAGGCCACATAAAGGAGTTGGGTGGCCTTGTTCAGGGTAACCTCCCAGTAGGTGGCTTCCTAGTGAAATGCCTGTCTAGGGCCTAGAGAGTCACAAGTGCCTGGCAACAATGACACTGGATTTCGAAGACAAGGGTGTGCTAAAGCAAAGGGTACAGAAGTGACTGTGGCTGGGGATGTCCCACATCATTTGCAAAAATACTTTTAAATCACCAATGGTCAGTACTCATTCAGTGGATTCTAAAAGTGCCTACTGATAAAACCATAGCAGCCTTTTTTTCCCAAGGAAGTGGAAATGATGATGTCAGTAGCTGCAATTTGCTGTCTATTATTTCTCTATATATTGCATGAAATCTATCAATTATGTAGCTAACAAAAATATATACATACCACTGCTTGTTTGGCTAGAATTTTACATAGGATGGTCTATAATACAAAATTGTATATTTACTTATTTAGAATATGATAGTTCATAAATTCCATCTTCGAGTACTTGAAAAGTCTAAGGAAAACTATTAAGAAATCTCATCTCACTTTGAACATTGTTGAGAAGATCCAACAAGGTTAACATTCTGTTGCCTAAGGTCTAGCAGGAAAGTTGTGTCTTGAAAAGATAGAATTAATCTAAAACCAATATTTGCTGTTACATGAGCACAGGTGGACTTTTCTTTTCTTTTCTGTTTCCAAGGGGAACCGGCGGCAAAGAGGAAGCACATATGTTTGCATGTTACATAGAACTCCTGTATGTAAAAGACATGCTTTGTTTCAAAAGTGCTTGGATTTTTTTTTTTTTATTTTGTTGCATGGCTTAAAACCACAATATAAAAATTTGCTCCTCTCATCAATTTTCTAACATCATTTACCCATGTCTCTCCAACTCAGTGCCATCTAAGCTCTCCTTTGCTGATAAATAACTCATCAGTGAATTTCATTTCCCCCAATGTGATTTTACAAGGACTCAAACATCACCAGGCTCTTGTGTTGGGCAATGTAAAATTACAGACATTAGGGAGCTATCACTTCTGTTCTTAGGGAGTTAACTTGATGTGTGAGATACACAAATAACTAATTCTATTACAAGACAGAAAGAAAAAGTACTTTGGTTAAAGTATATTAAAAAATATGCTGTAGTAGGATAGTAGAAGGGGTAATCAATTCTAACTGGGAAGATCAGGGACTAAGGACAGGAGCTAATATTTATTACGAATTTTAAAAGTTGTCCTGGAGCTTTTCCCAGGACTCTGGGAGGAGGCTGCCTTTACAACTGCAGTATTTGTTTTCTGGGGCCATCTTGGAAAGGGCTGGGTTCAAGAGACAACAAGACAGTTGTGGATTACCCCTTTTCTGGCCTGGAGAAACAGGAAATGGGAGAAAGAGTGTGGACTTAACTTTGGTGGGAAACCCTACTGGGAAAGGAACTTGGTTTCAGGTCCAATAAGAAAAAAAATGAAGAGAGAATTGTAGGAGAAGATGAGATGGCTGGAGAATTCTAGGCCAAGACATAGAGTGTTATGAGAAGAGGCTCCAATTGGAGTGGAGGACAAATATGAGGACAAAAATTAGAAGAAAGTGTGTGTGTGTGTGTGTGTGTGTGTGTGTGTGTGTGTGTGTATAGTGGGGGAGGTTGTGTGTCTGTAGTTGCATTGATGAGGATAAACTATGGAAGAAGGAAAGGGTACAAACTTGATAACATAGACTAGGATGAGACACAAGTGTCTTTCTGCTCAGTGGGAAGAGTTTCAATCCCACAGAAATGCCAGTGGACAGATAGGTCAGCTGACCCAGCCACCTTGTGTGCTCACTGACAGCATATGGAAACATGGGCTGCCCCATTCCTATAGAAGAAGGGAACTCCAACAGGTGCTTAAAACCTGCTTTTACCAGGACCCTGAATAAACCTGGGAGCAGGATGGAGACCAGGCATCTCTGTCCTTGTCCTGAGTGATCTCTCGTGTAGTCACTTTGCAGCCATCTTGGAATCCAGGAAGAGGAGGAAGAGGAGGCCCATGTGCCAGGCCTCAGTGATTCTTCCTGTGACAGTGGACATCAGGCCTCCCCTCACAGAACCCCAGCTCCCCAAACTATCTCGGAACATACCTGTGACTTGGGACTATATTTCCTAATTTCTCACCCTCTGCCCCTGATTCTCTCTTTTCAATGGAGGAAAGGGTCTGCACACAGCCAGCCAAAGACACCTTGAAGATGTATGTATTCCCATCCTGCCATCTAATAAGTGTCCTTTCTCTGGACTTCACCGTGTCTCTCTACTTGGCTTACACACAGTAGTGGCCAGACCTGATGCATGGAACTCCGAGTGTTTGAGCCTGGGGGTCAGAAACTCCAGTTGCAGAGCCAGTGTCAATTTGTGTGTCTTCTCTCTGAGAAGACCTGTCAACAGGGAGCACGCAGACCATGGTCATTCTGCGACGTTCCCCAGGGCCTCCTACTGGACCAGCCAACCTTCACAGGTATAAATTAATTGAGTCATGATAAGCAAGGAGGTGAATCTCAGCAGGCTGGGGCTACTCATGGATTTTATAGTCATGAACCTGCAAATACACCATACTGGTACAAGGAAGTTCGAAGCCATTTATGACCACCCACCCAGAGTTATTTTTCTTTCTTTCCTTTCTTTTTTTGTCAGTCATGGGGCTTGAACTTGGGGCCTGAGCACTGTCCCTGAGCTCTTCAGCTTAAGGCTAGTGCTCTACCACTTGAGACACAGCACCACTTCTGATTTTCTGGTGATTCATTGGAGATAAGAGTCTCATGGACTTTCCTGCCCGGGCTGGCTTTGAACTGTGATCCTCAGATCTCACCCTCCTGAGTAGCTAGGATTACAGGCGTGAGCCACAGGCGCCCAGCTGTCCAGTTATTTCTAAGGCCTTTCTTTTCCAGAAAGGAGGCCGTGTCCATCGATTAACTTCTACTGTCATGTCTTGGCAGATCATTATACTTTCCTGTCTAGACTAATGAACACATAATGAGTTGCATCTTTATGGACGTAGCTGAGTAGGCCAGGTAGCTACACCATCTTAGAGTAATGAGAGGAGGATTTTTTCATTGCTAGCAAGTGTGCTACCTGCCTCTTTCAGTGCAGTGTCACATGATGTGGGTTTCCCCACTCTGCTTTCCCTTCATAGTATCTGTTACAAAGGCTAGGTTCTGCTGGCTGCCTATAATCCTAGCTACAGAAGAGGCTGAGATCTGTTGGACAGTGCTAATACAATTGTGAAGGCCATAGACTAATGGTCACACCTGGGAATTGTAGCCTGGCCTCAAACATCACAGGCATAAGGACTGGCTAGCTCATACCACACTGTGCAGTTCTTTTATTTATTTATTTTTTTGGTCCAGTCATGGGGCCTGAACTCTGGGCCTAGGCGCTGTCCCTCAGCTCTTCAGCTCAAGGCTAGTGCTCTACCACTCTTAAGCCACCACACCACTTCCGGCTTTTTTCTTTTTTGCTTATGTGGTGCTGAGGAATCGAACCCAGGACTCATGAGGAATCGAACCCAGGACCTCATGCATGCAAAGCAAGCGCTGTACCACTGAGCCACTTTCCCAGCCCCCACACTATGCAGTTCTAAAACAAAATGTCAGCCACTTGCTTAAGGTAGGATGGGATAACACTGAGGTTTGAACTCAAGGACTTGTGCTTGCTCAGTTGGCATTTGATCACTGGAGCCACAACCTAGTCCTTGGTTTGTGATTTAAAAACATACCTTGAAAAGAGAACACAATTATATGATACCTTGAATGTAAACAGAAAGTAGCAGTTCAAAAAAAAAAGGGAGAAAGATGGTAAGTAATAGACTCTTACTATGTAAGAATAAGTCATACGTTTTTTTTGTGCATGAGAAACCTAAAATTGTAGAATTGCATGTTCTTTTCTTCAACTAATGATGTTGTTTCATAATTCATAACATGCATTGTAAAAGTTGTCTTTACATAATTCTTTAATAAAAATGAGTAAGCTGCCCTCCTCTTAAATTAAAAAAAAACCCAATAACTGACATTTACATTATGCATTCAAGCCTCGGTTCAGTCACTAGTGGTGGAGGGGAGGAAAAGGAGAAGTTTTAGCTGGCTTTATGCTTGTTGCCAGGAGACAGACAAAGGCATCAAGGAGATGAGGCAAACAACTCCACCATGTCGACGGGAAGGTGGCCGTGTGGGGCAGATCCTTCATTGGTAAAGGAACACTGAGTTGTGCCACCAAATGCCCTCAGATGAGAAAACGCAGCTGGAAACTGTGACGTATTCATGTAAGCAAGGGGAGCCAAAGGCATTTTTGAGAAGTTGCTTTTTTAATGCATTTAGATGAGCATCAGAGTTGGGTTTTGGTGTCAGTTGCTATAAACATAGAGGAAGCTTTATACATTTTTAATCGTCAGATTAAATTGAGTAAAAGGAAGGGGGTAATGTGGGGTTCAAATGTAATCTATAGGATCAAATAAGTGAGAAAGGGGAGGGTTTTTGTTGCCAACCAGAGCTTGGACATTTTCCCTCTTAATACCCTGAAAGGTTTGAGCTTTTGGTTTGGGGGAGTTTTGTTCAATGGAGTTTTGATTTTTACTAAGGTACCTGTTGAAAGGGGCAAAAATAAAACCAAAGAAAGTTGAAGTATGCTGAAAAGAGGTGAAACTATTATGACTTACCCAGACACAGCACTTGAGTTAACTAAGGACTCACAGCCTGCGCCAAAGCACTCTGAGAGGAGAGGAGGTGAAAATGACGTTGAAGATTATGACACCACCCTGCTGGAGAACCGGCTCAGTGTGGGTGACTTTGAGAAAATACAGAGTGCCTTTGAGGTAAGTGCTGAGCTTGTTGACTAGAAGGTTTGCATGGCACACCAAGAGCCTGAAAATAAAGCAGAGATCTCTCTCTGCTTTTTAAACGGTTTGTAACGAGTGGAAACTCATCAGATCTGGATTTCACATCATGTGCTGAATTCTTTGGGGGTCGCCAATATTTAGTTCGAAATTAGTACACATGAATAGCACCATCATTACAGAATGGTGATTTCTTAGAAATTAACGTATTTGAGGGAAAGCAAATACTATAGCTGCAAAGGAGAAAAGCCAGGTTTGATGGTTTGAATAGGAAATGGCTCCCACAGACTTCTGTGTTGAAGGCTGGATCCCTACTGGTGATGCTATTTGGAAGAGATTTTAGGAGGCAGGGGTAGTGTGCTAAGTTGTAGGAAATGAATTATGGGGGTGGGTATCCTGTCCCTGGCCTCTCCTTCTCTCTTTCTCTTTCACAGTCTCTCTGTCTGTCTCTGCTTCCTGTCTGCCATGAGAAGATTATTTCTCCTCTAGGACCAAGCAATTGTGATCCAAAAGCTCTGAAATGCTAAGTCCAAAGAAGGAGTTCCTCCTGTGAAGTTCTCTCAGGTATTTTGATCACATCGATGAGGAAAATCACTAATACAGGAGTTTATTAAGGGAATCACCAGTATCAACCAATTATTCTCCCATTTGACATAGAACTGGGCAAATGTAAACATGAACATCTGTTTTATGAAAATCCTCTCTATACAAGAAGCCCACCATCCATACTTCTTGTTGATCTTAGAACAGTGTCATTTTAATTCCATATGGAAAATATACCTGAAGAATTTCAATACAAATGAATAACTTCCTTCAATTCATATGAAATTTGGCAACTCTGAATAAAGAAGAGTATACATCAAAGTGATTTTTAGTTTCAAATAGACAAGAAGTATCATTTGATGCTGTAGAATTTAAGTAGAAATGAGTTTCCATCCTTTCTACTTCAGTATGGATGCTAAAATATATCAGAACTTCATAAAGTTCTCAGTGGGTGCTTGGAGTAGAATCTGTATTCATTTGAAGCAGGTTTGGAACATTTCAGAATGCAACCTAGAAATTAACAATGTGTGAAGCTTAACAATTATATTGACATAATTTGCACACATTTTAAGTTTTAGTTATCCATCTAAACTCTGCTAAACATTACATTTTGCATAACTATTTACATTCTACCTGCATTAATATATTGTCTTCTCTATCATTTTTAAATAATAGAATCTACAATATTTAGCAGCAAAGACAGTCTCTTATACTGTTCTCATTTTAGTCTTCATGCATTTGCTATTCATCCATCTAACCCTCTTGTTCTGAAAGATTTCAGTGTTACTCCTGCCCAATGTCACAAATGAATCTGGCAGATTTTGGTAGACACAGCAAACATTTTGACAGCTTGCGGACAATCAGGGAAATGTAACAGCAGATTATGACAGCTTTGACACTGGAATGAACAGAAATGTGGCAGTTTAGTCCTGGTGCTGAGAACACAGAGGATTTGAATTTTTGTGTCTATTAAAGAACAAATGTTATTATAGTCGTGTGAGTGAAACTGCTCCCCAAGGTGAAGGGTGGGCATCTTTTCAAACTACAGATTAGCAGCCAAAGTGACACTGGAAAATCCAGTCACAAGGTGATTTTTTTTTTTTTTTTGGATGTCATTTGTTCATTTTGCATGAAACCTTTCAAAGTTGGACCACTGACTTGGAAATTACCAGCTGATACTAATGGGCCAAAAATGGAGAAGAGAATCTGATTCAGAGCTTCCATTGTAAATAGAGGATCTACGATAGCTTTTTATAAAATTGAGAGAAGGGCTTTTAAGAAAAAAGTCCATCCATTCTTAACATATTCAACAGCCACAGAATGGAACCATCCAAAGCAATTATGCAGCCTGTGGGGGAAGGGAGGCCCTTGAATAAACATGATTTGCAAACACAACATGAACATCTAGAGATGATACAACCAGACAGTTCCAGGGGAGGCCAGCCCATCTGTCATGAAGGAAGCCATGGCTGTTCTTCAATAATGTCTGGTCCAGAACTAAAGACATGCTCTTGACAGTTGTACAAGATTCCACAACCAGATTCCTGTATCTTTTATTCTACTTTGTTTGCTTCTGCTTTTATACAGATTGTATACAGCAGAGATAATTATAGAGCTTAAATAATAAAAAGTTAAAAACCAGAATGTTTAGCCTTAGATTTGGCAATATTTTATATGTCCCCGGTGAAATATACTTTACCCTTTTAATCTTAATATAATATTTAGGGAAAATCCAAGTAATTACATTTCATCATATGAAGAGATAAATAAGTTATGCTCAGTTGGTGTTGAAGAGCTAGAAATCAGACTTCCAAGATTTGCAAAAACAGATTTGTCACATACCTTGTGATTATGTGCAAATTAATATCTTTGGATCTCAGTTTCCTTTAGTTCTAACACGAGAATAGTTGAGTTTTGGGAGGATTGAGGAAAGAACTTAGAAACCCATTGGTTCATAGAATGAGTGGTCAATTGACATGAAGTACTATATATTTAATTAGTTGAGGTTGAGCCACATGACCTCTAAACTTGTCTTGATTCTAATGTGTGTATTTCTTTTTTTTTTAATCTCTTTCTTTCTTTCTTTCTTTTTTTATTGTGAAAATACCATACAGAGGAGTTACAATCACATGGGCAAGATAACAAGTTCATTTCTTTTTTTTTTTAATTTATTTTTTATTGTGAAAATACTGTACAGAGGGGTTACAATTACATGGGCAAGATAATGAGTACATTTCTTATCAAGCATTGTTGCCTCCTCCTTTGTTTCCCCTCCCCATCCCTTCCCACCCTCCCCCCCGCCCCCCCCACCAAAGTTGTAAAGTTCATTTTTGACATAACAACTTGTACATCTCATTGTTGCAACGGATCCACCTGTATCCCTATTTAAACGACTTGTTTTTCCCCTTCCACTCCGCAAATTATACCGACATAATGTGTGTATTTCTTAAGGGAAATTAAACTTCCAACAACACTTGCTATTGTCTCCAATAGTACCAAAGGTGCAAAAGCAATATTCTCATAGAAAAGTAAAAAAACACATTATTTTTCCCTTTCATTTTATCAGTAGCAAAGCATTTTAATTGGTATCTTAATGTTCTTCTTTGACGCAAAGAAGTTGCACAAGTAGAAGAACGATAAAAATAACAGGTGGATTTCATTTTTTTTTCAAGTAATGATGTCAAAGGCCTTCTGTCAGCCAGAAGGGACTGAAAGGTGCATTATTCATAGCACTGCACAATAATAGCCACTTCAACTTTCCTGTAGAACTTGAAATGCTTCAAGAAATGACATGGTCTCTGGATATTTATATCATTTTGATGTCAGCTGTGTTTTGTATTCTCTTAGAAACCACAAAAGCCAGCAACAGTATAGAAAAGAGTGGTTGTTGTGCTGATTTTATAGGAATGATGAGTTGTAAAAATTATTATCTAAAGGAAATGAGATTTTTGGAAGGCTCCACTGCCTATATATATATATATATATATATATATATATATATATATATATATATATATATATAAAGTTTCTTGTGCATGATGAGCTATGTAGGTGTATGAGCATTTCTTGTTTGCTCTGTTGTTGATCTCTGGGTGTCAGGATATTCTTTGTCTGTTGCCTGTTTGATCTGGGATGATAATTTGCCCTCTACTGCTAGGCTGTCTGGATTGGGTCCTGAATTGCTTCTCCTAGCAACTGACTGTTTCATTTCCTGGCATGTGTGTCCTGGCTCAAGTTGTGGGTTCAAAGCCAGGTGCTGGAACTACTTTATCTATGGCATGTTGCCATTTATCCAAGCTCTGACCAATATTTACTTTTATATCATTATCAGAAATATGTAACACATTAAGTATTTATGCTCAAAGTCAAATGGTTCAACACAGTTTAGTGTGAGAAAACAAAAATCCTAGCAGGAAGTTTCCAAAAACTGTCCAGTAAGAATTCTTTGAACAGATCACTTGGGACTGAATGAAATCTAATCACCACACATTTGTGCTACCTTACCTCAGATGCCCAGAAAGTTCAGAAGGAGATTATAGAGGCCCTAAAACTGTGCCTGAAGAATAGCATTCCAGAATTTATCTTTGATATCTGCATACAATTCCCCAAATGCCTATAGACAGGTTCTCCAACAGGATCTATGAACTTCTTTGTCTCAACTGGAAAAACTGAGGATTGACACCTTGCTAGCTAGACTAGTCTTTAAGAAAATTCAGAAAGTTAGCTGTGGTTCTTTCCTACCTTTCCAATATTTGTGCTTCTTTCCAAACAGTCAGGTTTCCTCACAACTTCTGAAGAACCCAAGTTTGATCAACTTTCTTTTTGCTCAATGCAGTTTACTAGTACAGTAGCCAGGGATCAAGCTCAAGTGGATATGTCCCAAATTGCACAGCGGTTCTTGTTCCTTGATCCTTTCCTCCCCCCCAGACATCACCATTTTGATCAAGGAAGTACAATTACTCATTCCTTTCACTCAGAACATTTAGATTTTAATCATTTCTCATAAAATGAGAGAAAGCCTGTGAATATAATTTAATTTTTGTACGTAATATTGCTACTTAGAATATGGAATATTATGCTATATAATAACATTGTTATTTTTTATTTTTTAAATTTTATTTTATTGTAAAGATGCTGTACAGAGGGGTTACAGTTACATAACATTGTTAATTTTTAAAAAAAATAATATTTTCTGGGGCTGGGAAGGTGGCTCAGTGGTAGAGTGCTTGCCTTGCATGCATGAGGCCTTGGGTTCGATTCCTCAGCACCACATAAGCAGGAAAAAAAAGCCAGAAGTGGCGTTGTGGCTCAAGTGGTAAAGCGCTAGCCTTGAGCTAAAGAGCTGAGGGACAGTGCCCAGGCCCGGAGTTCAGGCCTACGACAGGACCCAAAAAAAAAAATAATATTTTCTAATTTTCTACACTAGAAGCTAGATG